TCCACTGCGTTTGTTAATGCACATATAAGGTATATTGGGTTTTTGAACAATAAAACAGGCAGGTAAAAGTGTTTTTAGTAGGTTTCCCAAATGTCTGTGTATTTCAGGTGCTTGTGGGTTGTTTTGGCCCCTTACTCCTGCAAATACCGGTTGCCTGCTATATACTTATGAACATGGATTATTTACATTGGGACAGACTTTGTACTGCTGAAGTTTAAAATGTAGGAAAAAGTCGAAAGGGAGTTTTGCCAAGTTGTCGTCTTAAGCATAGTTTTTGCTTTTTTGTCCTTTCTTAAACATGGAAAACACTGTGTATCAAACTGTGAGAATATAATTCCTTATTTTGATAGAAAGCAAAATAATTATGGATTTTCCCCACATTTCAATACCTGTGAAACAAATGGAGCTTATTTTGTCGTTTTCCCATTTAGCTCCTGTTTCTTCTCTGCTGCTCCCTCTTGTTTGTCTTTTTCTTCAGGGTCTTTAAATTTCCTTTGTTTCCCTTTCAAATGGCTCTTCCTTTGCTTTTGCTCCTTATTTCTCCAGTCTTGTTAGTGTCTGTCCATGCATGCTTGCCCTCCTGATTAACTACCAACCCAAAGGACGGAACACGGAAGCATGTCCGCTCGCCTCCAGAGAGGCATCGATTTGCTGGCAGCTGGTAACCACACAGACGGCTGGCACATCGAAATGAGCTCGGGAGCAGAAACTGGAAGATGAATAACTGCAGGGAGGGTGATACTGACTATTTTTACATTCGGAGCCTCTCTGAGTGAATCCAGTCTTTTTGGATTGACAGCCTCATAAACAAAAGCAATCTACCACTGTGTTTGTACAACTGCATGGTTTTAAGATGCAGACACAGAGTTGCTTGGCAAATGATATTCAAGTCAGGCGGCGTATATTTTCTTCTTGAACTGAAAGTATTTACATCTAAAGATAGAAAAGGCCCAGATTTAAATTTTAAAATGTATACAGGGAGTGGCGTACATAATATATTATTTGTAAGAGATTTCCATGAATAATTTCACATATTATGTGTAACTGAAAAACAGTGAGAATGCAAATCTATTGAAAAAAATAAAAAAAGGTGCAACAGTCATCTTTAGACAGCATTTTACTTTATTAAAGTACTTTTTATTTTAACTTCAGTTGTCATTCTTCTATTAATTTGGATGCAAATTTAAATTCACTGTGAATTCACACAAATAGGGATCAACTTATGATTCTCTATTAATGACTGATTAGACTGAAATTAGTTCCAATCTATTAACTAATAACGCCCTATTAGATCTTCTTTAAGTGTTGTAGTTTGGCCTCCATCCAGAAGAGAGCACCACTGGTCATCCTTAAGCAAAGTTAGCTGATACCAGAACGGGAAAGATAAACAATTCAAGCAAAATCCGGTTTGAGATGCAAAATGCACTTTATGCGGTTCTGTTTTGAAATATAATCACGCAACAAGCTCCTTAAGTGACAGAAATGACATTGTTTTTGGATTTGCTCATAGCTTCATTGACAAAAAACATCTCTTCCATTCTTCTTGTGATGCCAGTGTTGTTTTGGTGCCTAAATTTAATTTAATGTTTCATGATTTTACCATAACACATTTTCCCAAAGTGTTTAAGTCTAGCTATAAATTTTTACATAATTTTTACGTAAAAGGGTGATTTCAGTTTGGAAAGTTGTTTTCGCAAATTATTCATGTAAGGCTTGATAATTGCATGCAAACAATAAGCAAAAGAAATCTCATGATGTAAATTGGCTTTCACAGTATATATTTTCTAATGAATCGCATTAAATATTTGTGATAGTTATTGCTTTCAGTATGTGATTTGCTTTCAGTATATAAGTATTTGCCAGTCATATTTTCACAAGGATTTGTTTCCTTTTTTCCTCCTGAATAGCCTTTGTATCATAAAGCATTTAACTTCATGACACAAATCTCAATGACTAATGACAACCCATAAAGTCCTTAGTAACACTGAGACTGCATTACCTTGTAATTCAATGGATTATCAACTTATCGTGAGAAAATCCCCCTCAGAGCCAAGAAAATGCCATGAGGTGATATGAATTTCCTTAATACTTCACAACTCGCCAAAGAAAAAAGGAATGAAGACTGAAAGGGCAGCTCCTTTCAGACAGCACCTTTACATGATTAATATAGGTATTTGTATTTAAATCAAGCCATAAAATGAGGTTTAAAATGTTCAGAATGTTTCTGAGGCTGCAACTATAAATTGAAAACTAACTGGGAATGCACATGTGAACTCTTGTAGATTCATAATCCAATTATCCTGCTGGTCCCTCCATTACACATCAGTAACTGGAGATATAGTTGAATCCAAGTAATGACAACTGAATTAGCCTTTCAGGAGGTTTAAGTAAGATCAAAAAGAGGGAAGTTTCTGTTGATTCAGAAATCTCAAGTGGGGATGACCGTGAGAAAGGATTTTTCCTGTTTAAGGGAATAATAAGGGAGATGTGGCACACTGCCCAGGGGGGCACAACCTTTGGGGTTCCACAAAAATAAAAATCTGTATGTTGTTTCTCCCTGAATGAGTACTTTTATGCTTACTTGCATCCCCAGTCAGTCATCAATGGCTGCCCTCTCTGATGAAAGACCAGGCTGGGAGAAACAATGAAGATGGTGTTTGATTTCTGTTGAGGATCCTCACAAGGATCTTCACGAGCATACTGCACTTGTGGAAACTGTCTTTTTGCGTCCACATTCAAACTCAGCTTTTGGTGTGAAAACTGAGTTTCAAAGAACTCTTTCTGTACATTTGCATTCACATTTGTATGATTCTCAACAGCAGGGCTATGATTGCTGTGTCTACCATACACTTTCCTAAAAACGGCGTAATAAATAGTTCTTATCATCACTTTCATTGTTATCAACCTTCAATTATTATAATAAGACATTTTTATCCCTTAGATCAGATGTAGTTTACCCTTCTTCTTTTCTTCTGCCTCTTTGAATTTGTCTTTACCTTTAGATACTGGGTTCTATGTTTTGGTCATTTTTAGTCTAGGTTTCACACCTGACCATTTTGAGACAAATGTTCTTTTTTGGTGCCATTTTCCAAAGCCAACAAACACAGACACAGACAACCTAGACTTCTAACAGAAGGCAAAGAGCCAGTACCTTGTCTAAACATAACAGAGAAGTTGGCGCAGAAGCATCCACAGTGACTTGGCCTTGTTTCTGCGCTCTTCAAGTAGGCGGGAGCCTGTTAGAGGCCCAAAGAAAAGGCAGTAAGAGAGAACACATTTAGAAGTGAATGTGTGACTAAGACAACGATAGAGATCCAAGGTGATTATCTCAGGAGAAAAGAGCGACATAGAAACAGCGTATTGCAGGAAATCCTGTGTCTCCTCCTTGTATGACTGATACGTTCATGACAGCAAAGCAGGAAGTATGGAAGCGACATCTGTGAGGTTGCAAAGACAGAGGTCAGGGGAATGACTGCGAGAGAAAAGAAAGATTAAATCCTTTTGCTTGCTGCTCAAGCTAAAACTAAGTCCCATCTTGGCCTCAAATCTCCTGTTGCCATGGAAATTTAATGGCGGGTTGGTGTCCCAAGAGACTCTGACCTGCGAGCGCAGACAGGAGGGAGCTAAGCACACAAGAAAAAGGAGCGCAGCAAAACAATACAGGTGCTTTACACAACAACTGTACTGCAATGAATGCAGAAGACATCAGCCTCATTGATATTACTACTGGTAAAAACTAATCATAAAGGGTCTATCTCTGCTAATTAACTTGCACAGGTAATTAATTTGCATTTAGTAAATTTCTGTTTGTAGATAAACATCTGACATTTGATAGTTTGGCCCATATGGTGTTCATTGCTCGGCATTATTAAATGGATCGAGTCATTTCACACAGCTGATGTCATGCTGACCTTTCTGTGTCACTGAGACAGCCAGACAAAGCTTTCCTTAACCATCAGGAAAGGTCAGAAAATCTCTAAGCAGACTATTTTAGCAAAAGACAAACATTTGGTAAGCATAATGTAATAAAATTCAGAGTAATAAATTATCTTGTCCAATGTATTTAGATATAGTAAGGTTTGATAAAATACTAAGATTTTTCTTTTGTTATTATGTACTTCATTCTAAATTGCAAAGTTGTTTAAAAATATGAGCGCATTTCATGTTTTACCTGCTTGAGTGTCTATTTTCTCCTCTAAATTGTAAAGCAATCAATTGTAAAATCTCAATTTTGAGCCAAGAATGAAGACACAGCTGTTGCTCTGGGTATACAGAGAGAAAAACCATTAAAAGCAACCAAAGCACTCTGTACTCCCACTGCAGTCCCCACAAAGTGCCCAATTTGTTCTCTGCGCTGCTTTAAAAACCTAAATTAGGTGGAAGAAAAATAAGCCAAGATCATAATTCCCTCCTTCACCATTCTTTATGAGCAAAACTCGTCTTTAATAAAATTATTTTATAATTTTGGATGAGGTGAAAAACAACTTTTGGAAATAACCTTTAAGCAGGTTTTAAGTGTACTTTTCATTTCTCTATTAAATCTTTTTTTATAGTCTAATGTAATATTTGTATTTTACGTATATGTATCATCATAGTTAACACAAATAAAGTCTTTCAAACATCAATCAGTGTCTGTGTGAAATGTATTTAACTAAATGCTAAAGTTTCTGATATAAACTGGCTATTCATTAATATTCTTATTTATTGAATATGTATGTATGTTTTTCATTTTTTATGGTATGGTGCTTTATTCAAATGAAAAACCATGGTAAAAAAGAAATCTCACGACAATTTGAATTTATTTTTACATTATGGTTTTTGTTTTATTTATTTCATAACATCTTTAACTCACCAGGCTATTTCCCAGCATTGCTGTACATGATGAACTGTGTACCTATGAGGGCATTCTTTACAGAAAACAGGGAAAGGATCAAAATGAACTCAGTTGTTTTCATTTGGAGGAGAAAAGTCACTAATGTTGTTGTTTTCTGCCTTTACAGCTGTTTCCTTCATGAGACACAGCGCATCAGCCTTTGGATTTGCCGTGAGTCCCAGCTTCCTGCTTTCCTCCCTAAACATTGATCAATTAGTCATTGCTGGGGACCTTGGTAATTTATTAATGAATCCCAGAACCAAAGTGTTATTGGTCCCCTTGTTGCCACGGTAACAAAGGAGAGAGGATGGACTCTCCAAGGAGCTAGGATGGAATATCAAAATGCATTTTGAGTTTGTGAAAGAGGTCATCGGGTTTTTACCAGAGGATAATGTTATGCAAGAGTTCATAATTACAAGATGAAATGATTAAGATTGTTGCTTGTAGGAGAATATGAAACTTAATAACAAGAAATTGAAAATTAATAAATTCACACCTTGGGCGTTTGGGAAATACGATTAGAATAGCATGATTAGGTCATTTGAACTCCAGTGCTAGCTATTTTATCTCAGAAGGTTTTAATTATCTTATGTTGCTTTTGCCAACCATAATACTTAAAGTCGCACTGTTTTGATCATATTTTCAACCATTAAATCATATGGATCATCGAACATTTTATTATTTCGCTTTAAGATTTTCTGTAGTTCCTGTTTTGATGCTTATCAGTTTATATTGAATTCTTCACAGAAAAAAAAAACAATTTATGTTCTTATTAGTGCAGATTGGATCATTTAAAATATACCATTTAATAAAAACCAAGAAAACATCCTGTCATTAATGGTTTCACCCTTTCAATACGGGTGGTATGGCTAAGTGATCAGGGAAGCATACCTTCAGGGGGCGGCTGGAGGTGCACTAACTAGGAAAACATTTAAAATGTAAAAAAATATAATAAGAGTACTTTTAAATGCATAGTTTTCAAATTGACAAGTTATTGTTGAATATCTATGGTCACAATGAGTATTTTAAAATTCTCAACATTTCTTTTTCCTTTTTTTGGTTCTCTAACCGGCTGTAGTTTGATGCCACACTGGATGTCATGTCATCAGCCATCGTTCTTTGGCGCTACAGCAACGCAGCAGCTGTTCACTCTGCACACAGAGAGTACATGTGAGTATAAACAAGTCTCAAAAAAAGACATATATATGTACATATATATGTCAAAACCAGAAAGTGTTAATTTCTTATGAATAAATCCGACATAATAGGATAGGATGTTGGGTGCATTCAAGTAATTTAAACACTAGGTATTTGTGATTAGTTGAACAACAGAAATTTACTGTATGTCATTCCTTATCAACGCTTACTGGAGTTCAGTGGACTTTATTAAGTAGCTGTCAGGTTGCACCGAGGCTCACTTGTCTAAAAATAATCACCAGACCTCAGAGGTGTCGCTGATAATGAGACATGCCACTATAAAATTCATTAACCTACACCGCTACACGCAAACAAACAGAAACTGAGCGGCAGAGACTTCATTTTAAACAAATACGTTTTAACTCCATCTCTGAGAAGCTGCGATGTAGAAAAACAGTTTTTGGGGTGATGTGATCCCCAAAAAGAAGAGGTGGTAAAATGAAGGTCTAAAGTTGTGTTGTGCAACAGTCAAAATAAGCTTCCCTTAAAAAAGTTTTCTTACTGAAGAATTGGAATAGTTTGATTTTTGAGTCGAAATGAAAAATAAGAAATATGGGACTCACCACGACACTGTGTCTGCCAAGTAGCTGTGGGTCTGTCCTGCAGTAAGATAGATGAGACACATATTGTAAATTTGGACCAGCAGACAAGCTTTTGCAGCAACATCAGTCAGGCTGTGCTAAAGTTTTGCAAGAAAAACAAAAAAACAACACTTTTGCAAAGCTTCCTAATTACTAAAGGTTCTCGGTTTTAACATGTTGGGTCTGAATTTCCACCATTCTTTCTTGTCATTCTCTGTAGATCTTGTTAAATATTGTCATGGTCTGAGGCTAACTCAAAGCACATTTCTTTTCCTGTTCTGGGGTCTGCAGAGCGTGTGTGATCCTGGGGATTGTGTTTATTCTCTCCTCACTGTGTATCCTGGGAAAAGCCATCCATGATCTGGCCACCAGGATGCCTCCAGAAGTGGTAAGGCTGCACACACATGTAACAGGGTATTTAAACATGAAATCTAGGTTTATAAATTTGTCAAAACCTTTAAAACATTATACATGAGTGGGATAAAGAGCACTTTAATATGTGAGTCATGCTCCATGAATAGTAGATGCAAAATACTGTGAGAACCTTTTGATCCAAATGATAATAAATGCAGTGAAATTACCAATTCCCTTAAACAATTAATAAAAAATTTGAACAATTTCACATATTTTATTCATTCTGAGTTAACAAGAAACAGTATTTTCATTCTCAAAAAAACATAACGGTTTTAGATCTGGTCTGTGTCAAAATTAAAGCATTAATGGGAATCCGCTGAGCAGCAACTTAGTTTGCTTCCTTGGGTTGGCTCTGGATGCAGCGAGACTGACATGCTTTCTGCAGAAACAATAGAGGAAAAACATTAATATTTGCAAATAAAAATGTGTTATAAGTGTCCAACAGCCAATGAAAAAAAATTGGTTTGGATTCATGGTCTGTATGCATGTTTCCCTGCAAAGGTGCCACTGCGGTTTGGCAGGTGCAGTAATGTAAAGGTGCAAAAAAGAGGTTGCAATAAACCTAAAATAGATCACAGAGTGAAGATGAGTAATGAATACTCTACCAGTCAGTGACTTTCTAGGTTTCTTTGAAACCACAGAAATAAAAGCTTCAGGAAAATGAAAGTGGGTTCTTCAGGAAATAGCTTGACTACTATGATCAAAGATGTTCACATCAGGGTTTCCTTCACTGAAATAGAAAGGTAAAGACAGAGAGTGACATAGATCCTGCATTAGGCGTGTTCTCAAAATGTTTCTTTAAAAAAAAGACTGTCTTTATTTTATTACTGTTCACTTTTGCTTTTAACAAGGGCTCCTTCTCACTTTCTTATAACATCACTTCTTTTTCTGTGAAACTGCTGAGACTTTGAATAATAACAGTGTTGTATCTTTTCTTAGCTGCACTGTGATAAATTAGTCTGTTTAAAGCTGATTTTTCACAATGTTTTAATCTCAAGAACAGACAGAGATAGATAGAAAACAAGAGAATGAGAAAGAGAAGCCAAAACCACAAAATTGCCATCACAGTTGATTTTTTTTCAAAGAGTGAAAATCATTGTCCCATATTTGAGAAAACCTGGATTTATTAAGTCAACAAAACAAAGATCACTTCATGTAACATCCGTGTCATTGTTGTACTGACACTTTAGTTTAGTTTGGACCTACATCCTGATTGGGACCCCAAATCAATGCTTTGGGTCAGATCAGGATATTTCTGAAATAAAAAAAAAATAATTACATTTGCAGATAACATTTAAACCAGGTGTGCAGGATGCAGACAGTGTGTGTTTAATGTTATTTCTTAATGTATAACACACAATAATATTGCTTTACTTACCTGAACTTCTTTGGAAACAATTTCCCACTTCAGACATCTTTGTCTAACTTTAATCGACCGAGTCAAACTGATTTTTCTGTCGACTGTAAATTGCCTCAAACTAATAGACTAGTTGACATTTGGGAGGTTGTGACATTTAAAGAAAAAGAAAAATGTTGTTAGAAACAATTAAAGATCTCCCATAGTTAAGAGAAAGGGAAGGGAAGCTGGTTAAGGTCAGCAGCTTCTCTCCTGATTGTGTTTATTGCTTTCATGCCATTATGTTAATAGAGACTGTGTGTTAGAGCTCAGTGGGATCTTGCTAACACAATCAAAAGCATATTACCACTATCTTTCTCTTTGACACTCTGCCTCTTACATCCGCCACCTCACTTATTTCGTCACCTTCTGTCAGGCCTTGAAATCTTTCTTTGGTTATAAACATTCTGCTTTCTAGCATACATAAACTAAAGCAGATGTTGGTGTATTCAAAATCTCTGTCACAGGATTTATGCTTTGGTTGAATATGTAGATGTAGTAGTTTGGAGGATTAAATGATGCAGCGTTTCTTTTTCATTGTTCTCATCTAAAGCATGGTATCTTTTTCCCATGAGCCGACCTCATCTGCATTCTACAACTTTGTTTATTATCAGTTTTCTGCTTCTGTTTTTTTTTGGGGGGGTACAGAAATTTTCTGATGTCTTCAAAAAAAAGGAAGTCCTAGGTGATTTACCTCACCAGATGTGCTTTTATTTTAATGTGAAAATAAAAAACAAATAATGAAAGAGAACATTAGACTTTGCACATTATGGTGTCTAAAATAAACCTCCTCTCACATGGAAGCTGTACAGCCTGAGGAGGAAAGCCACAAAGTGGGATTAGTGCAAAATGTTTCTACTTTGGTCAGAGGGTGAAGAAAAGGTAGAAATCCCCATTCGGATCACATCCTCTTGTGCAGCTCTGACTGTTTGTCCATCTCTTGTACCTGATTAAAACACAACCAAGAGCCCCTCTGTGTCAAGAAAAAAGGAACAGCTCAGCTTTGAAACTATTATAACGTGCAAGTATCTCATACTGATACACAAGTATAATTTTTGCAGAAAGAGAGCTTTTAATAATTGAGATTTCCAAATTGAATTCTTAAAGACTGTCAAGAGGAACTTAGATATTGATAGCAGTCCTGCATGTTTGGGGGGATCCTGCAGCTTCCCCGGGTCACAAGGGATTTAAATTGGTTTTGGTATCTTCTCCTTATGAAGCACGCCCAGGAAATGACATCACCTGCTTGAGAGTCAGAGTCAAACTACTTCTCAGCCCAACTCTTCTAATGGTGGTTGTTAATCCATGAAGAGGAGCATTGTTGTGATGGAATATTGGAAACAATGAGAGCGAAAATCAGAGCCTAGTGAAGACAGTCTTTGTGTTTCACTGCCAGATATTCTCTGATTTTTTTCTCACCTCCTTCGTATTTCTGTCTCTCCTGAAGCAGGGGTCAAGTTTGGGTTTCTGCTGAAGTCTTTTGAGACTGATAGTGAGAGAGAAAAAAAGAGCTTGAATCATTTCAAAGCATCATCCTTACGACCTTGAGCTGATGCACCAATTAAAGAGGAGCACTGGGTTTAAAATGCTTGAGCTAACAAAAGCTAACAATTCAACCTTCCATTTTCAATTAGTTTGGTTCCCTCTTGACTCTGTGCTAAGTAGTACAGGTATTGTACATAACCATAGAAACAGCCAGTTTCATGAGCGTTTTCTCTGTTTCTGTGTCTGACCCCAGGATGACTTCCTCTACAGCGTCTCCATAGTGAGTGGTCTCAGTTGTGCTGTGCTGACTGTGGCCAAGTTCATGCTGGGAAAAAAGCTGACAAGTCGGGCACTTATTACTGATGGTAGGACGTCTGCACTCTCACATAATTAAATAAATAGCTTGCCTGATAAATGGCTTCGGTGGGACGCAATGTTAGAGAATACATGGAAAACCAAAACATAAATGATAAAAAGAATAAAATGTGCATCTTGTGAAAGAGAGAGACATGCAGAGCTGAAGAAAAGTGCAACACACTGTCCCCAGGTCTGACTCTCTAACTTGCAGGGCATCAATCCAATAAGCCTGAGGTTGCTGTTCTTTGAGCATGGATTTATTTCCCACCAGACTATACACTTACTGCAGGCAAGACAATAACCCACTGAGCTAGCTTCCACACTAGGGCACATGTAATTATATTTAGAAAAGAAAAAAGGTACAAATAATGTTCCTGTACCACAGATATGATCTTTTTGTTTATAAAAATGATAGGTTTTCTTTAAATTCAGATAAAAGTCACAATTTCTATTCCTAAATTTTGGAATGTTAGTTATTTCACAGATTCTTATGAAGATGAGTACTAAATGCCAAATTGTATGTAATAAAGGAAGGGCTATTTATTACATACAATTATTAATAATTATCCCATTTGGTTATTCTAAAAAAAAAAATCACTCAGGTAAGTCTTACTGAGAGGAATGATGCAAATAACAGGTTTAAAATTTGTATCACATTCAATTCTTAGATGGTTTTCTTTCAGGAATATTCAAAGACATTTTAGAGAAACAAGTTTATAAACCGAGGCAACCTTTATATGCTAATCTTGTGTTTTTTAGGGTTTAACTCGATGGTTGGAGCAATCATGGGATTCTCAATTCTCATCAGTGCTGAAGTCTTCAAGCAGCATCCCGATGTCTGGTTTTTGGATGGCACCATTGGGGTTTTAATCGGACTAATCATTCTGGCCTATGGAGTCAAGTAAGAGTTTTACAGACGTTTCTTTTTCAGTTTCCAGTTTTACGGTTGGAAATATCTCTCATTTCCTCCAACATCTGCTCATTTCTGTTTGTACAGGCTCCTGAAAGACATGGTGCCACGGGTCAGGCAGACGAGGAACTACGAACGCTTCGAATGAAAGAGCCTGAGGCTAATCAGATTAGCAGTTTTAGACACACACACCCACCCACACACACCTGGGAGCCTCCTGCCCTCTCCTCTCTCATCTTTCATACACTCATCCACATACTGCTTGTACATTCACTATTACGGGATACATCATGCTCTGTTACATGCATATATGTGAATATACATTTTGCTGTACATACTGTACATAGTACACTCCAACATTCAATTACTCAAGTCTGAGAGACCTTAAGAGATAATGACATTATTGTCATCATTGAAGATCTTCTCAGCTCTGAGTTTTTTTCTCCTTGTTCTCCTAAATAGCTCTTAAATGCATCAAGTTAAAACTGTCACCTTGGATGAGGAAGAAGCAAGATTATAAACTCAAAACCTCAAGAAGTGCTTCGGGTTTGTTCAGGAAGGCAGAGACCGATGTCAATACAGATTTTTATGTTGATAATGTCTTTAAATAAGGTCTTCTGTGAAAAAGTGGATTTATCCTTGTAATTTACTAAAGAAGACATTCAACGGGCTTTTTAGAACAAAACTGTTCCTTCATTGTCAGACTCTTGCTCTTAGCTGCCCACTAATTTACAAACTTTATCATTTCAAGTGACTATTAAGCAGAAGTGTGTCAAACAGAGAAATTCTTCTGAGATTAGCCTCTTAAATTATCTCTAAGACATGAAAACAGGAGGAGAAACGATAAATGCTATATCTTCCTGAAACATTGACAACTTTCAGTTAGGTGACTGAGTTAAGATTAAAGGACTCATTAAGCACAAACATTTGCCATAGAATGGCAATGGAAATAAAGTTCAGTGCACAAATCTGGAATTGTTTGATTTTTAAAAATTTTTTTGTAATAAGGTCAAGCACAAATGTATGAATCAGCTATGATAATATACACTTGTTGACTGCTGCTGACAGCTGACCATTGAGCCAACTTGGGCCACACAAAGGCTTGAAATTCAAGATATACTACTTTACAACCACTATTTAAAAACAAAATATATTTTCTTAATTTATCTTAGCTGGGTAAAATTAAGTACTGCATTGGACTCTATTTAATTGCAGTGAGGTGTTCATGTATTTTCATTATTTTCTTCTGCACCAAAAATCCATTCAATCATTTTTCTACTTGAAATTGTGAAAGAGAGGGCGCAGTCTCACCTGACAATAATGAGGTTTAAATAAGTGTTGACTTTCATACCATTCTTGTAATTCATACACGTTACGGTGTTAGAATACTGCACTGAACCCAGGGAGGGTGTTTTTTATTATGACTTAAAATCCAGTTATTTTAGTCAGTTGCCTATTTCTTATTCACTGTAACAGCAACGAAGAAACTTGAGAAACTTTAGTGCAATGTCAAAGATCAAGCAGCTTGTAGAAAACCAACTTAGTGACTCAGTGTTCTCAGTAAGTCTGATTTTATGTTCATCAACCTTTTCTTCATCATCTCCTCCCAATATAATTATAATGTTTATCATTACATGCAATGAACAGAATGTAATAGCAAAGCACATGCTCTGTAAATATGTTTATTACACTGTTCGAAGTATAAAGCATATCGTATAAAAGTACAAACTGGTTATAGTTGCATACTGTTAAACATGTTTCCTCTGTAGTGTGAATATACTGTAAAAGTCTTACATTTTACTGTAGATTATTGGTGAAATGGAACGACAAGTCTTACTGTAAGTTGCTGCTGTGGGTGAACATTCCTGAAAGGATCTCGGCATGCTCTGGCTGCTCGGTCCAAGCCTCAACTCTTGTGCAGCTGCTTAAATATGATTCTTTACTCACCTAAATCTGAGTCAAAACACCGTTTGACCTCAGGCACTGAATATTCATCATGTCTGAGCAACAACCACACTTGAATCGCACATAAATCCATTTTTATTGAAGCGTAAATAAATATTTAGGTGTATATATGCTCAAATTCATGAAGAGCTTGCTTAGTATAAAAGTATATTTCAAGGACCCAGTTCTTCATGTTATAATGAATAAATAACGATTGACTGCCCTCTTATGGTTGGTAGAAGAGTTACAATGGTCTTATTCAAAACTTTAAATCCCAAGGTAAAACTCTACATTTTTATCTGTGGCTGAACAGAGTTATAAAAGCATTGTGGGGTTATGAACAGGCCTGAATCCAGCTCTGTGTTGATGGGTTTAGCAAAGTGTGACATTTCTGCTATCCTTAGTTCCACTGTGTGAAGAACATGGATAAGCTGCAAACTGAAGGTGTGAATCGGTTCACATCAGTTCAACTCACCAACAGCACACTGATTTGTAATGTCCTCCACTCCCCTCTTAACTGCACAGAAGACAATTTCAACAGCGACTCTCCTGTAAGTCAAGCACAGTTTTTTAAGCAACCCCATACTGCACAGAAAAAAAACATTCACTGCAAACCAGCTTGCTTCCCTTTACACCAGATTAAAACTGCGACATGATTTCTAAACCCTCCAATGCTAATCGCAAATCGGTGTAGCAAAAATCGCAGCAGTACTACACACATCACACAGTACTACTCCCACATTTGTCTTTATAAAGAGGTTTTCTGCACCTTTTCTGGTGCAGCATGAAAACATAAATTTGTGGGGGTTTTGTACAGTGTTGAGCTTGCCATTTTGGGCAATAATTATAAGTTAATGCAGTGCTTTAATTTAAGTTGTGATGCATTTGTTCTAAAATTAAAGCTGCCAGCCAGGCATGAGTCTTGCGCATGAAAACAATGTGAAATCTCTTGCTAAATGGCATTGGGAGGATGCATTAACCTCGATGTTCCATATGACCTTTTTAATGTCTCAGTTTTACTCCAGTGTAAAGGGGGCTGAATAATAATGCTTATACCCCAACTCTTTTACGCATTTCACAAGTTATTGTTGTGAAAAGGAACATTTTAGGATGTTGGCACAAAAATCCCTTCTACCTCTCTTCTTTGTACCTTGTGTTGTTTTCATTCCACTTCATGTTGGAGCATTCATGCTTCACAGTTTCCATGTTAAAGTTAAACAGCTCATCGATCGATACATGTTGTAGTAACTTAATCCCTCCTATTTTTTGTATGAATATTTGAAACGACATCAGACTCTCTTTAGTCTACAAACAAATCTGAATCATCAACATGTGTCTCGGTTTCATGTGGGCATGCTGTCGATGCAGAAATGGACCATTCATTCCACCAAATTATAAAATGTTTTTGAAAGCAATATGAACCAGCTCTCTGTTGCCATAGGCTTTGCATGGGCTTTTAAAAACCCAACAGTGTCAGTGGCTACAAATGCTTTACATCCACACACGCACACAGATGTATAAATGAATTTACAAAGAAACCATGTAACGAATCGTTTGTACAATGACGGCGTTGATGGTATTACAGATGATGTGAACATGATTTATGTAATTGAACATTAAGGAAATATGTATGTCAGTAAAGAGAGTTTTATTGATTGAGTAAATAAAGTTTTTTTCTGGTTGATCATCAAAGTGCTGAGAGGTATTGACTTTTTGCCTGAAGAACAAATAACAAACACTAATTAGGTAGAAGTTGGGATCATATGTAACAATGGGGGATTTGTTGACAATAATAAAAAACATATAATCCCTTTAGGAACACTGTCGTCCCTATCAGCTCCAAATCACATCTGTTTCACTAAAAGTGCTAATAAGATCTCATTTTACTCCATGGGACACTTGCTGCCATAATTAGTTTCTGTGTCAAAAATATAATAAAAACTAAAGAGGATTTAAAAACGTGTGCCTGTTGATAAAGGAATATCAAATTATTGGAATTATTTAAGGTGTGCAGCTATGATCAAAAGTTATACTGGGTACAATTGTCAATAAAAATAAAATAATTGGAAATGTATTAACAGAAATGTTTCTATATTATTTACATTTCATAAACATTTTAAACCAAATTGAGGCCAAAGTTTGTGCATTATCACAGTAAGATTATTAAGCTATTCATTTTCTTATATGTATATTATGTTTATTAAGCCAAAGCCAGGAGATCTTTGAAATATTAACTTGGTCTTTTTGGATTTATAAGGAAAAATACAATCACCCAAACCTATTGCACTCCATATCTGAATATAAATAAAACCTTAAATTGTGTTACAAACGACACTAATTCTGTTTAATAACTTGCAAATTTCTAAATTTTTTGTGTTTTTACTGATGTAAAAACCTTATTTCAGTAAATAAAACTTATGATAAAAATAAATTAATTCCACAATAAAAGAAGCTCATATAATTCAGTAAACTTACTTTTTTATAATCACATATTGTGGCACAATTATAAAGGAAAGTTGGGCTACAGACACAAATGTGACCATTTGCATTTCTATCCATTTCATGAAGTTAAAGAGGCTGATTCGGACTCCTGCAGTATTTACTGTCAGTCAGCTTTCTAACCATCTAAGGCAATATTTCACACTTTTGCATCATCATTTCGAGTCTGAAATCACTCTGCTCTGTCCTGACAAGAGCAGTGGGAATGTTAGAGAGGAACTTCCATCAATATTATCTTTGCAGCAGAAACTGTAACCTCAATTGGTTTAATTGGAATAGAGCTTCAAAAAGTTGGCAAATGAACTTGATTTAAAAGGTTCAACATTTGAAGAGCAGAATTGTGTACAATGTGTTCATTTTTTTGTAAACTCAAACATCCAGGCATGTATTAGCTGAACAAAAACTTAAATCCTCAGCATTACAGGAATTTTAGATGCAGTCAGTTACTGTTGATTGTAATTTGAAGATGATTTTAAGCAAAAGTGAAAGAGGCAAAGTCAGTTTGAAATGTACATCAAAAGTGTTGCAATCTGAAAAATCATTAGCAGATGTGCTGGCAAATTTAAGAGCTCGAAATTTCATTTATAAATGAAGATGGACTTTTTCCAAATGACCAAGACAAAGTGGAGTTGCACATAATATATGATAATATGACAGGCTTGTTGGTAGAGCTTCAAACTACAAAAGATAAATAAATTGAACTTGGAGACTCCAGGAGGAAATACTGAGCTGATATTGGATGACATTTTGTGCCATTTTCTTCAATGTTCAGCTGTCATAAACATGCCTTACATAAGGCTACTTGGTCCTTGATGTAGTCTCTGCAGGGACAGATGCGGTTTAGTGATTGCTCGGATCTGACACAGCTGTAGAGCAGAGAATCCGACTGGAACAGGCAACGTTGCCTGCTGCTGTCGTAGGCTGGGAACACAAGGTGGCCATCTGAAAACTCAGACTTTTCACAAGCTATATTGTGGCTGCAAGCAAAGACAAAAAGAACATTGAATAATGAGAAACTCTCTTTGTAACAGACATTTGGTTTCAAAAACAAGTAAATTTGCCTATGAAATTGCAATGGACTTTGCTTGCACCATTATTCAGGGTTGCAGAGTCACTGAAGTATTTATCCAAAGTGAAATATGTAATTGATTCAGATTAGAAGCTGTGACTTTGCATATTCAGATTGATATGATTTATTCTTAAACTTGATTTCCACAAAATGAGAAAGTTTAGTAAAAGGCAGAACACATTAAATTTAGACATTACATACAAGAAATAACACATAACACAAGAAGAAATAAATATAGAACCAGTGAAAGGAATATAAAATAGCCTTTGGCTTTTATTGCAAAACTGCTGTAAACATTATTGTTCAGTTCTGATTTTAAGGCGTCACCTGTATCCACATTTCTCGGTTTCAAGACACTTTTTTTGTAGTTTCTGTTTGTGGGAATGAAATAAATCTGCTGAAAATGAATAGTTGGCCTACAGCTAACTATTCCGCCAACTTGGAGAATAAAGCAGTTTTAAAACACCTTTGAAAGAAATGTGTCAGTCTTCAAACTTCAATTTGGAAAATAGTTTCTAATACTTTTTTGAATCCTCTATTTGGTTTTACGCTGATTTTCTTCTCACTAGAAATGTCATATGTTTAACAGCATGAAATTGAACCCACCTGGCGAGATTGTTGGCATTGTTGAGGTATGGAAAGAATGCTGGTTCACAGATAAGCCCCGCCCTCCGACAGGCCTGTTTACACGAAGTTCCTGCCTCCGCTTTCACTACCTGAAGAGCACTCAGAGGAGGCCAGCTCATTGCAGGTGAGCATAAATCCTGCAAAGAAATAGTTTAGAGAAAAGGAAATAACATTAGCTACCACAACTATGTAGATGATGTCACCAGGTGACTCTGAATAAATGCTAGAACAGATAAACGTGTGGATCTGCCAAAACTTTCTCCAGCTAAACAGAAATAAATCTGAAGTTATCATCTTTGGATCTAAAGAGGAACGATCAAGCGTCAACTCACAGCTTCAGTAATTACAACTAGAAACTACAGATCAGGCCCAAAACCTGGGCGTAGTGATGGACTCAACCTTCAGAGTCACTTCAGGTGATAAAAGTCGGCCTTCTATCACCTGAATGAAATTTCTAGGTTTAGAGGACTGATATTTCTGAAACTCATCCATGTGTTTATCTTTATTCGCATCAATTACTGAAAAATGACTGTGTTCACAGGTTTGTCTAAAAAAGCAGATCAATCTGACTGCTGCTGCTGGCATTGTGACTGAAACTGTGAAGATAGAGCACATCACACCAGTTTCAAATTCCCCAAACTAGTTCCCTGAAGCTCAGAGAATAAACTTCAAAATACTGTTGTTTGGAAATCACTGAAAGGCTTAGCATCATAGTACATTAAAGATCTGCTGTTATAACCCTTATGGGCCTCTCATGTCTTCTGGTTCTGGTCTGTTCTGCATCCCCAGAACCAGAGCCAAAAGCTCAATCAGCTTCTATGCACCATAAATCTGGAACAAACTTCCAGAAAATGGCAAAACAGCTGAAAAACATAAATCTAGACTAAACACCCACCTGTTTGGAATTGCTTTTGAAACATAAGCAATAAAACATTGATCAACAATCTGACGTGTAACAATGGTATATGAAAAAATTTATGTTTCAGTTGCTGACTGTGAGTTCTGTGACTTTGTGTTTTTGTGTTTTTCATTATGTAAAGCACTTTGAAATGCTTTGTTTTTGAAATGCGCTATAGAAGTAAACTTGAAACAAACAAAGGGTGAAAAATCTGATTATATATATATTTATATATATATTGTCAAACCTGTTTTTCAATCAGGACATTAACCCTCTGCAGCATTCCTTCACATGTAAACTCATAGGGAAGGTAAGGTTTTATCTGGAAGACACGTAAATAGAAAATACGTCTAGTAAATTTTTCGATGAATTTTCCAGTGGTAAGATTTGACTTAAACTTACAGTGCGATTGAGTATAGCAGTGATGGCTCTCTCCACATCTGTTTGGTTATCCATATCTACCATCCACACATAAGGCTCCCCTATTTCTTCAGCATATGGGTGCTGGGATGTGACCTTCACGATTCACCAAACAGGAAATGAACAAGAACAATATTCATTTTATTGCATTAAATGCAAAGTCTTCTGCAAAAACAGTGAAAGATTTTCTCAGTTTATCTCATGAGACTTCATTTAATATTTGTTAATTAGATGTGTGTTTAAAAGGTACATCTTTAAATAACAGAATAAAGAAATGAAAGAGACCCTTGACCTCTCTGATGGTGGGTTTTCCTTTGAAGAACTCGGTGTTCAGGCTGCTGTGTGGAGGTTTTAATCTGGGGTTCAGGAAAGCACAACCATTGGCTAAGGCTTCCAGAGGAGCGGGGCCTTCATATGGGAACGACAACCCAACAAAAACCTACACAGGATAACAAAAACAAACGAGATGTTTAAGATTTGTGGGTTATAAAAACACAATGTACTACTAAAGGATATCCACATGGTGTCAGCAAATAACAGCACAATAAATGCTGACATGAGGAGTATGTAAAACATTGCCTTGATGTAGTTCTGCAAACACAAATCCTACAATCTTTTCAGTTACAAATAGTTCTTTAAACTTGTGTTTTGGTGCTACTTATTATGGTTAATCAGAAAAACACAGTGAAAAGGTTGATGAAAAGTTCTTCATGCCAACGCCACACAAGAGACAAAGCGCAAGTATTTTTTTTTTACTTGTTTTTCTTTTACACAAATTTTATGATCCCTATTAAGCTTCTTAGTTTCCCTGATGGCAAAGATCTTTCCTACAGTCAGACTCATCATCCATTACTCTTTCAGTACTCTTTGGATAATGTGAGATATTACACCTAATTTTCCCTTAACTACTTTTGATTTGAACCAAATTTATTTTCCAATTGCAAACATTTTTTTGATATCAATACACATTTTTTTTTTGCCATTTTCATAAATCAAATTCACTTCCACATAGCTGTTTATTCTACCAGCTGGTGCAAAGACAGAAAAGCATTTCTGTCACACCTCAACTATGTTGAATGGCATTGTTGGGTTTGATGCTTCTCTCCTTTCATCATGATGAGAACTACACAACATGAACTATCACCTTTTCCAATCAGTCCTTTTTTGTATCATGCAGCTACATCAATTTGGATCAAAAGTTCTTTGTCTTCCAACCAGGTGAGCTCAGCAAAGGCCAACCAAACGTTTATTGTGGATGTCTTAGAAAATAAATCCTCCTTTCATGGCTTCTATGGAAACCAAATGATCCAAATTGTGCTTTAAAATTTTCAGAGCAACAATGAGCCTCATCAGAATAACAAAGCAATTTGCTAAAGCTTGGACAATTTATCGAAAAAATATGAACTGAAGATAATTTTGCAAAAAGCACTGGTCAGAAAACAGTAGAAAATATTTAGCTAAACTAGCATTGAAAAAGAAAACTTAAATTAATGGGTTTCTTGATTGGTTTGCTTGATAAGTCTGTGGTAAGAACTACATGAGAGCAATAAAACTCAGCAGACTTAAATATGAACGGGTGACTATAGTCATCATGACTAGCAAGAGAAACTTACTTTGCTTTGTCTCAACAAGGTCTGCACATCACTTCCTTTAATGATACCATGATTTGTCACATAGGTTGGAATCAGAGTACCGCTATCGACTGTCCCATGGATATCCAAGTACTTGTGGATGATGTCCAGATAAGACTTTTTACCCTAACAGCAAAGACACAATCAGTAGTTTTCCCCGAAAATTTCAAAACAGCAAAAGCACAAACCTGATTCAACAAAATAAACGTTTTTAAATCTTTCCACCATCATTATTGAGTCAGATTCTGGGAATACCTTCCAAAATGTGTCACTCTTCCCATAAATGAGTGCCTGGTTTTTTCTCTGGGTGGACTTCAGCTTCTCATTCTCCTCCAGACTCTGCTGATGTTGCACCACGAAGCCGAGGAATGTGTTGTCTGGTGTATGAGCTGCTCGGACAATACAAGAAAACACACATCTTTATAAGAATATTCTTGAATTATATATACCAGGAGGATGTAAACCAAATGATCTGATACAGACATTAAGGAAAGCAAGAAGACACATACGAAACATGGTGTAGAACTGCAGGGGGGTCAGACCGAGTCCACCGAATGGACTAGTGAGGTTGTGTTTCTTTGCCCAGTCTGCATGATTGAAGTCTGGTTCAGTGCCAAAAGAGTCCAGCACTCGAATTATACACCTGCCAGACACATAGACAGAGAAGTTGTCATAAAAAATGAATCACATTTTATTGTATGGCTGACATCCAGATAGAAAAGCATTTAAATGGAAAAACTTCACTCAAGTAGTTAATAATAAAAAAAAGCTTTTAACACCAAACTGCCAAGAGTTTGCATTGCATTTACCTCCACTTATGTGAACAAAATAAGAATTAGTGCAAAGACAACATTTAGTTCAACTCCTACCTTCCCTATTTAGAACATTTTATTACTCTATAAAATAAAATAAAATAATCTGTTCTCAAATTACCTATATAAAATTGAAATTTTAACAGCGGTTGAATCAAGAAATACTCTGTCAAGATTGTTTGAACAGAATTTATACAAGGACTGGAGAAACTATAAGCATACATTAAGATTTCTAAGCAGATGAAACTGAGATGTTGTCAGTTTTCAAATGTGGAAATTATAAATATGTCATTATAATCACATTGACTTTTTATTATGTTGTATTGTTTTATATATATTCAATCAAAGATGCAAACCTATACAACAGCAAAAATCTTATTAGGATCAATGTACCAGAACATCTTTGTGGCAAGTTTTATTTTCATTGAGAAATATTTTTCTATTCATTCATTGAAGCAGATAAAGTATGAGTGGAACTTTGAGGTTGTCCTCCACTCACTAGTCCTATTTTCATGAAAAGTAGTCATATGCACACGCTTGTAAAATGGTAAAAACGCAGGAAGGACATTTACATTGTGTATGCTTGATGCACAGGCTAAACTTTTCCATTTGTAACATGACTGCTGGATTTTCTGTTTTCTCAAATTCTCTTCTCTCTTGCCTTTTCTCTGTAACTGGAAAGCCAAACTATATTTTCTTCTTTTAAGTCGTTCTTTTGTCTCACTACCTTTTTGTTACCGGATGCCTCATAATCTTTGACATCTGCTTTTATGTCTACGTTTCTTACCTGACAGACTGCTGGCCATTATTTTCCTCTCAAGGTTAAAAATGCATATATTCTGTCGGTCTAAGAGTTTCACCATCTAACCCATCCAATAACCATTTCAGATGAAACTCTCCCACATTAAAATATCCTTATATTCCAGCATATTCATCCAGTGACTCAGATTTGATTGACCATTTCTCTTTACCTCATGTGAACAAATCTTTGTTAACTTTACATAAATCTAGTTTGCTCTGCGACAGACTGGCGACCGGTCCAGGGTGTACCCCGCTTCTCACCCGGAACGTAACTGGAGATAGACACCAGCACCTCCCACCCCCACACGGGACAAGGGTGAACAGGAAATGGATGGATAGATACTAATACATTGGCATCAATTGTTTATTCGCTCAGATGGATGGATGGATAAATCTAGTGACTGCCTTGGCCAAAAATCACACTTATCATTTCAAAAGTTTCAAATAATCAAAATAATCAATACTTGAAGAGTTTGTTTTTGCTCTTGCTTTTTGATAATGTAATGCGACTTTACATCTGCACCAGGTCTCTTTACACCAGAGACCCGCAACAGCACCAGGTCTCTGGTCCACATCTGGACCAAATGTCAACCTACACCAAGGCCATGGTGTGGAAAAGAAAATCAGTCTGAATCATGAAGTTTGACACATTTAAAGTGGAATGTCACTTAATTAGAAAATTTGTTCATAGCATAAGTGTAACTTTATATTATTACTGAAAGAGCAGCAAATAAGATGGTTTTGCTGTAATAAAACTCAGCTCTGTCTCAGACCTTCACTCTGTTCAGTAATAATAATAATTGTACTTGTAAAGCAAACAACTTTGTTATGAACAGCTTTGTTGGTACGTTTTGTACAAACAGAAAAGAAAACATGTTTTTGTCTGACCAAACCAGAGAATTTCATAACAGAGAACAAACAATGCTGACATTTTGTTTCTGTCAGCCAGTCCCACCGCAGAACGAGACGTACTTTGACTTTTTCAGGTAAACAGAAATACCTTATAAATTTAGAAATAAATTGTAAAGCTAGGTTTGTGACCAGTTGTTCAGACGTCATAGGTACCTTGTAAAACCAGGTTTACCCCAGTTTAGAGTAATGAACAACCCAGAATCAGACAAAAAAAAAACAAGTTCAACATTTATAAGATTTTTGTGGGTCATGTTTCACTAAAGGTGCGAAACATCTGTTTATTTATGAAGGGTTAGTATTCTACAAAAATGACTTGTCTTTAGAAGCTTTAAAAAAACACTAATACCAAATTACATCTCGTTTATTTTTTTATAGAACTGTCAAAAGTAGATTGCATTAAGAAAAACTTTTATTTGACTTGCCTTTTGACATTTGACAGGAGGAAGTTGAAATCAAGCTTGTAACCTTCTGACTGCAGGTCAGCTCTACCCATATGAGGAGATGCCTTCTAACTACTTATATAGCATCATAGAGCAAGATTGTGCTTGCTCCATGAAGCATAGAATTATGAAAATGAAAATTGGATTGAAATTGAATTACACTGACTGTGATCAAAATATCCCACAAATCTCATAGGCTCCAGGGTTTAGGTGTCTCACTGAACGCTGACAAGGCAATTTTCTAATATAATTTATTTCCTGGTATCTGCAGGCCTGACTTCAGCTGTTTTGATGTTGACATGTCTTGCTGCACTTTAAGTTCAGGTGCTGTGTTTTGTTCAGTTTTGTGTGTAAAGTGGGAGCACTTTTAGGTGGCGAGACATGAAAAGTAATAAAGTTTCTCAAGTTTAGGTATAGCTTTTCTCTGAAACTGGTATTTATTGCATTTTACTGCAACAGATTATAACAGCTTAGAGTCAAAACACTCTAATGGTAGTTCTAAAGTACCATTTGTTTTTGCGTGAAAGTTGTAAGCAAATGTAATAAACAGGATTTGCTTATTTATAGTTGTTCAGTTTTGAATTTGAGTTATCAAGAAATCTGATCTTTGAAAATAAAGTGTGAGAACCGCTCCTCCACAACAACCCAGTAAATATAAACTCAGTTTATCTCTCAGACAAGCTATGTTACGCTATGATTTAGTGGTCATACTTTTAAGAGTTATGCTACTCATACATTGGCATCAATTACTTGTTCGCTACACTTGTTCGCTTTGTGGTAATTAATTAACAATGATCAATGTCAGTTAATTAGTGACATTGATCATTGTTAATCTTTTACTTCCAATTTGTGTTAATACACTTGTTTTGGTCCAGACTGAATTAATTGTAAAAGCTCCGGCATTTAAAAAGATGCTCACAGTTGCCTAATAATTAATCAAGTGTATCTGTTTGTTCGGCTGGGCCTCACTGGGGTTGCTAGGTGAGAGGCAGTTCCGGATGATTTCTGACAGTACATTAAAAGGTTTCTGAAAAGGCTCATTTTCTCGACTCCAAAACACTTTAACTTACTGCCAAAATCTGACTGTGTGTTTTTTTAGACTCTCTGGTTGTTTTTAGAAACAGTTGAGACACAAATGAAAGTGCAAAAATGTGTATTTTGCATAATACACCCCTTTAAATCCAATGCAAGAAACAAGAGAGTGCTTAGTTTTTCGGAGAAAGTGTTTGTACATGTAATGATTTGTAAAAATATTTCAATGCCCAAGAAGTTACTCACTTGTATTTGATCCATGATGTTTTAAGTACTTTCTGGATTTGTCTAAGACCAATTATATCTGTATAAATCAAACTTGGTTCCACTAGTGAATGTCGAGAGGGGCACCCACCAGTCCGAATCCCAAAAAACCTAAAGAGAAACAGACACAAAGAAGCAAGAGGGAAAATATGATAATTATACCTCCCAGACTTTGGCATTACTGAAAAGGACACGATTTGCATTTGATGTCATGCAGCACAACTAGGTTTTAACTGCCACATTTATCTGCTTCTGTTTATTTCCTGTGATAGTAGCACAAAAGGCCTGCGGACGAATACTCACTTGTTGAGGCTCGGAAGGGAGGCCGACAGGTGAAGATGATGACCCAAAACATGAAGTGAGGAAATAAGGTCACTCCACTGAACCAGCTCCCCCAGGGGGCCGCCGCTGAAAGCATTCTCAGCTATTTTGAGACCCGCTTCTTTCGTAAGCGCACCAGGATGCACAAGTATCTGGGAGTTGGGGAGGAAACAGATTAATGGATAAGAGACGACTTTGAATGCTTTCTTAACTGTCAATATCTCCCCAGGGTCTGTTTCGGCTTTTCAGTCAGAATCAAAAAGCTTCCTAGACATTTATGGATAAACCGATGACTCATTTCAGACAGTCACAACATCTGTCCTTCCACTTTAATTCCAATTCTGTGAGCTTTGCTGAATGAAACTCTGAAGTCTGAAAATACATGAGCTTATTTCCTGTCTTTGGTATTAGTGGAATAAAAAGCTTTTCTGAATGAAGGATGAAAGCATGTTTAGGAAACAACCTCAAAATGCTAAATTAACAATAAAACGTTTTTAACTACACAAACGCAGAACTCACAATGGCACAAACAATAAAAACAAATAAATTGAGTGAAAAGTAAATTGAATTTCATTATGAAAGACAGCTGCTAAGAAATGCATGAAAGGGGAAGTCTCTGGATTTGTGATATGTCATTACAGAAAAACCCTGCAACGAAATATTACGATGCTGGTTTAGGGGGATAACAATGGACAACCTCAGAGGGAACAATATGGAAGCTGACTGAGAAATGTCTTAAAACAAAAATCAAAGCAAAACTATTTAATGTAACAGGAAAGAACATTGGCTTTTTTATCTAGTTTGAGAAGAAAACTTAATCTGGTCAATGATAAAACAAATACCATCTGAAGCTCAAACAGAGCCCAGAGCTTATAGTTTAAACTGAACATATTTTAAAATTATTCAACATTTTTTATTTTGTTACTTTTAGAAAAAAAGACGCAAGCCACTTTATGTTACAATTTAACTTGATTCTGTTTGTATTTACGGTTAAAATGCTGGACTCTTAAACATGTTTGCTTTATTGAAAACTATGTTCAATAATTTAATTATCATTACTTCATCGAAATGATGCACTGCGGTTAAAAGTAAAGACAAAAAGTCTGTAACATTTGCAATCCAAAGAGCCACTTTTGCCACCACAAGTCAATGCAATATGGTTAAAACTTGGAGATAACTCGGTCTTTCAACAATAAATTCATCCAACAATTATACATGAAAAATTACCTTTGACATTAAGGTTAGAAAAAAAGTTAGAGAACGTTTTGTATGTTTTGTTTTTTTTTTGTTTGTTTGTTTTGCAGATATTTAACAATTTAACATTTGTGAACTTCTGATGACTTTGTACCTGTTTGGCTTTCCGGTTTTCCAGGTTGTATTTGGACGAGAGAGAACGTCCCGCTTCCAACCAAATTTCCTCCATACTTTTAATTCTCTGTTGGATCCACCTAAATTCTGTCTTGTTGTGCAAAAACTGGTGCATCGCCTCAAAATGTCCTCGTATTACTGCATTCTCTAAAACCGGCTGAGGAGAATCAAGAGAGCAGTTAAATCAGTCCCTCACTAAGTCACATTCATTCTTTCTCCAACAAGAAAGAAGGAGAGAATAATTTCCCTTTAAATCCTTTAATTTTTACGCAAAATTTGTGACTTTTTGGAAACTTCTTAGACCACACAGATTACTTTTCTCAGAAAAAATCTTTGACTGTTACCTGTTTTGTTTCTTCAATAACTGAAGGGACAACTCGGCCCGGAAGAACAGGACACCAGGACTCTGTCTTAATATGACATAAAAAGAAACACAGTATTACTTTTTGGATTTGATGCAAACAAGCTTGTTGTTCCGTATCAGGACTTGCAGGGATATAAATTCAATGATAATAAAATCTAATCTTGTTAAAAATGTTTATGCACGTTTAAAAGCACGTAGGTACCTCGCTGAGATAGATGAGGAAGGAGCACAGCGACCCATTCACACCATAACTGCTGTAGCAGGGATCCGTCATCCACATGTCCTTCATCCACTGTCCCCACAAAAATCCACAACAACAAAAACATCACCTCACGGTTAGTGAGCTGTAAACGCTAAAGTACTAAAACACTGAGACAATTCCCTTCAGTTTTGCTGTAAGCTGAAATTATTGGACCTTGAGTACAAAAAGTATCTATGAAGTTACAGAATAGTCACTTTAACTTCAAGTAAAGTTAAAGCGTTCATCTACTAACCATATTATCACACTTTTTGCTTCATGGTTTGCAATCATTATGTAAATCATATAATTAAAGGGCTTTATTACCTTGATTTTCCCCTTACACTCTGGAAATCCATCCAAACGTGGCAGGGGGCAATTTTTATCTTCCGCGATTTCATCTACTAAGGAAGACAATCAGCAGTGTTTTCATTAATAAATATTTTCTGACTTTACATGTCCTCTGTTAGAAATTAGCGGTGAAAATAAAATGTGTTTACCCATTTATTTATTTATTTGTGGTAATTAAATAAATTTGAATTTTATCAGCAGTTGTACCTCATGTTGTCTGTTCATTTGTACGACCGGCCATTTGTGAATGAGCATCATCTGCATTGCAGTGCTTTACTGAACTCATTATTTTGCCAGTTTACTTTGTAAATCCCAGCCTGATGCTCAAATAAAAATATTGTTAATCCAGTTTTCTGCATGGTTGTATAAATCTAAAAATATTGGTGTACTAACCCTGAAAGCCAGTTTCCATTATACATTTTTCTTACTTGAATTTTCAGTTATTAGCCATCATGTCTAAACTTTGCACCTGTTTACAAATCTTTGCTTGGAAGATTTTTTACAATTCTTTTGTGTCCTGTGAATCACATTTTAAAAATGTTTAGCTTTGAGTCAAAGCTTACCAGATTCCACTTTCTCCTTTTTCTCTTCCTTCTGCAGCTGCAGCTTTAGAAGCTCCTCCAAGCGAATCACTTCTTGCCGCAGTTGGACTTTATCAGCACGCAGTTCCTTTATCATCTCATCCTTCATCTGACCTTTCATTTTCTCTGCCTCCATTTTGTCCTGAAGAGCTTTTATGTCCTCCTTGTAACCTTTAAAACGTGGCGATGGTGAGACTGGAGGAGAGAGGGTCATCTTTCTGCTTTAAAAGTGTTGACATTTCTAAATAGCTCTTCATGCAAAAGCCACACAGTGTCAAGGTAGGAAATGTTTTCTTCGCTATGTGAAGAGACATTATTTTAATGATTCAGTCAAAACTGAACCAAGAGACTTGGCACTGAAAAAGGCTCAATTGGAAATGGACACAACGATCCAAAGCTCAAAGACATTAGCGGCAGGGCGTGGGTCTGTTCAGCACAATATTTGATGATCTGGTTCATTCAGGAGAACGTTTCCTCTGCCAGTGGGACTCTCGCTGGGCAGGCAACAGAAGCCTTGAGAAAAATCCAATTATTTTTCAAGCAAAACATTTTCAGACAGTTTTTCTGTTTAGACACAAAACATGAAGGAATGAGGGATGACTCAACCATTTTGAACAGTTCTAAGAAAATCATTTCTTCCCGCCGATGGTTTACTCTCCTTAAAACATGGGGTCAACTGAAGCCCGATTAAATGAGTGAAATATTTTTAGAAATTAGCTACAGAACATTGAAATGCACTGGATGAGTATACTGCCAGTAGCAAACCATGGATCTGACTTGTTTATGCAAGCGATCAGACGAAATCCATCACCATTAACACAAAAAGACAGATGGCAAAGCAATAATTGATGTCTACTGGCTGCTTGTTGCATCCAGAGTTTGTGAGCCAGAATATTTATCTCAAATTTTAGACAACAGTTGCATAGTATTGGTGGCACCTTATGTTTCACATAAAACATATTTTTTTCTAACCATTATTATCCGTTTTGACGACGTTCAGCAGATCATCCACAAACTGTACAAAAATCTTCATCACATCTGGAATTGAAAAGATTAAAAAGACAGAAAAAAGATTATAAGAACAAAGTCAAGTAAAAAAAAACAAAAAACTGTCACGTAAAAACAAAATCATGTTCAACTGCAAAGTGTAAATAAATGACCTAAAAGATCTTAATACTGCAAACAACTGTTATCAGAAACTAACCAGAATAATATCATGTTACACAGGCAGGCTTTCAGTTTGATAAATAAAAAAATATCAGTTTTTTTTTCACACTTGTTCTTTCTCGTGATTCTGTTGCTGCCAAGGACCAGTCTGTAGGTGAATGGGACACTCTTAATGCAAATTGGTCTACTTCACAATAAGCACTCAAACATGCTTAATCAGTCTCCATTCATATGGCCTCCTCAGGAGAACTGGGATAACTTCAAAGTAATGCAAGAAAGTGCTGAGTGCCTGGAAACTGCTCAGGGTTAATGCGTTTACCTCCAACTCTCTGCTCAGCAGTTGTCAAGAGAGAAAGTCTTTTATTTGTTTCGATTATTTTCTTCCACGAGGAAGAGAATCTGGTGTTGACACCACTGGTTAACACCCTCACTTCTGCTTCTTTTTTGCAGCCTTACCCTTCTCATTATCTCACTGCTCTTTTCTCACCTTGGGCCTTGCTTGTTTCCAGCCACACTTTCCTGTTGTCAGCAGTCACACCAATGCTCCTCTGGTCAACATTAGTCTGAAAGACACACAAAACAATTGAATTTTAGCTACTAGGAATTCAAAGTAAAAACACTGAGTTGGTCCACATATCTGTGAAATATTTACAGATATGCTCTTTGAAATGTATTTGATTATTTTCTGCTTACAGATAATGATTGTAGAACATTGTACATAAGAATATTACATCAGACCAATAAAAACATTTAATACAGAAATATGGACTTTATGAAAAGTTTAATTCCTGCTTAAAGTGACCTGATGGATTGTTTTCAGTTTTTCGCTTGAGAAAAAAGACTTTTAAAAAATCATTGAAAGCTATTTTTATTCTTCCAATGTCCATTTTTTTATTTTGTAGAAAATGGACTTTCCAAACATAATAAGTTTGTGGTCCATAGGTAACAAATTATGCAGAATATTAGGAATACATTTTTTTTCAAACCACTGTTTGCAGGGGATTTTTGTCAAAGAAAGGCTATGATTCTCTGAACCTATTTCCAGATGACACATTACTAACCCGACATTCGACTTTCCAACAATGCATTATTGAACTAAACCTGGGGTTTTAATTGCTTCGGTTTAGTCCAGTTTTTCTCCTGGGTCAGTGGTGTTCCTCACAGACTTTAAAATCACAAACTTTGACAGTTACAACACCTCTTCAATTAATTTAGCTCTGAATGATGGATTTTAGGACCCCAAAAGACAAAGTAAGGAGAAAAAGGGAAAAGATACATACCAGAATGAAATAAGGCAGGCCCACACACCACAGCAAACAAATGGCCAGCAGCACACACACAGGTCTTTTCAGGATTTGTTTCAGCTTTCTCATGATTAACAGGAGCTGCAGGTTAGATTGGATGTAAGTCATTAGAAAATACAGCAGATTGAATCTCATGTTTTTAGACATATAATTGTTCTGTTCAACAGTGGGTGTTAAGACAGAAACATGAGTAAAATGAGAAAAATCAGAAAACCGAAGAGATTTTATATCAAATTATGTGCCTTTTAAAATCCTGACCTTGTAAATAAAATGTTTCTAAAATAAAAATAATTAAACGCTCCACCTCCTGATTTCTCACCTTTTGAAAATTTCTATTATTCGTAGTCTGATCAGCAAAGATATATCAGCCTTGCACACAGAAAGAGATTTAATGCTGTTGCAAGACTAAAATTCTGCATGTAGCTAAATATAAGGGATCAGAGCTAATTAGAAAGCCAAGAAAAAGCAAATGCTCCAATAAGCTCTGCACTCCCAAGCAGTGTTGTATAGTAACGAAGTAAAAATACTTCACTACTTTACTTAAGTATATTTTGGAGTACTTCATACTTTCCTCGAGTATGAAAATTTTTGATAACTTTCACTTTTACTTCACTGCATTTTCGAACTTAATTGTATACTTTTACTCCGATACATTTTCAATGTGTGGTTTAGTTACTCGTTACAAAGAAGCGAGAGAAAACGCAAATGTTTTGATCCCACGTGTTAACCGTTCCTGCTCAGTCTGCTGACAGTGGTCGGAAGACACAGGGGAGATTTTCCTCCAGGGCCGAAGCGAAGTTACTTCGGGGTTAACTCCCTCATACACCTCGAACATGAACCACAAGGTGGCATAGGGGTGCTTGGAAGTCAACTTTAATAGCGCCAGTTAACAATTGAAAGCTGCACAGTTTTGTTAGCCGCTGCTCCGGTCGTGGTCTCCACTCTTCCCCGTCTTTCTCCCGCTCCTCCCAAAAACATGCAGGTTCTTTTTAGCACGCAGCGCCCCCTGCTGACCGGAGGACGGCTCCTACACATCACTCGCTGAGCTATTATCACTAACAGTGGAGGCACTTTCCTCAACACACCTACTGATTGACTGCAACAAAGCCTGCTTGCCTGGGCTTGTTCATCACCACCGATAGGATGCACAGGTTTCCCCAAAAAAGTCCAGCAAACAATCTGATTGGTTAGTGCTCCGTTTGTGTAGGTTTGTGTCATTAAAATGTTCGTTTGTGCAGCTTTGGTTTCCGAGATATTAAAATAATTTTTTAGGCCATCCAGAGTTCACCATCCCCGCATTTTGCTCCAAAACAAACCAAAGTGGGCTGGTTCGTTTGTGCCTTTAAAACAAACGCAGCAAAGTTGTTTTTAATTTGGATTTTGGCTATTCCGATATCCGGTGTGAGCGGCGCCTAGCTCAAGGTTGATCCGATTCATGAACGCTAATTTCGGCCAGCCGGTCTCTAGGTCTCCCCCTTCCTCAAGGTGTCGGAGTTTCACTCAGGGAGCGTCAACAAATTTCACATCCAAGCTCTCCTGAGAAACTAATGGAAATAGATTTCTTGCCTTGTGACCAACTGACACAGAATTTATGACACAAAATATTGAGTATGAAGTAGTCATACTCAATATTTTCAGTAATTGTAATCTTAAAAAGTATATATTTTGGATGACCTAAAAAATAATTTTTAATATCTCAGAAACCAAAGCTGTACAAACGGAACATTTTAACGGCACAAACGGAGCACTAAACAATCAGACTATTTGCTGGATTATTTGAGTAGGTGGGTGTCAGCTTCACGGAGGTCTGTTTCGCTTCTCCCATTAAACACCAAGTTAACAAAAAGCTCTTCCTCTTCAGATGCCAAATTAGCTGAATTTCCCTCCCAATTCTTTTTTTCTTTTGCATAATGACCAGTTGTGTGCACCTATAGTTTGTGAAGTAGAGTAATCTTAGCTGCTTTTTTTCTTCATGTTGGCCGCATTTTCTATACTGACTATTTATTTTTCTCATTTTCAGCACTGACCTTACTGAAAGGGAAAACCTGAGGTTTATAGAAACTTTGTATTTTCTGTCCTGGAGGGTTTACTAAGAAGCTGGGTCAGTTGTAAAGCAGGTTAAGTTAACCTAAAGCAGGTTAAGTTAACCTAAAGCAGGTTAAGTTAACCTAAAGCAGGTCAAGTTAACCTTGTGGTTTAGGTAAAGCACCTACTTTTCTTAACTAAATGATGCCTGCAGGTTTATCCATTAGCAGGTTTCATTTTGCCTGCACTTGGTTGTGTACATTATTTTAAGTGTATTTAACAAGTTTACCAAAATATAAAAAATGTCATTCAAACTGCATTTGCCTTGTTTTACTTTTTACTCGTACTTTTCATTACATTCCATTGTTACAGTAATTTTCATAATTAAGTACAAGAAATTTCAGATACTTTAATACTTTAACTCAAGTAACATTTCAATCAGTGACTTTTACTTTTACCAAAGTCATATTTTGGAGCGGTACCTATACTTTTACTTGACTCCGAGATTTCAGTACTTTATACAACACTGCTCCCAAGACACTAAAACATCAAATGTCTTTGTTGTCAAATCAGTTTAAAGAACCTAACACAACCACTGATGGTCAACATATACCAGGATTAGTTTGGCTACAAATCATTTTAATAACTAAAAATGTGACAAATATGATTTCATTGACTCTGCCGTTACTAAATATGTGTTTGATGAAAACTTTGTAGCAATGTTGCCTTTGCTAATGTTTGAAGTATGATCTGAGTGAGAAAGCTGTCAGAGTTTCAGCAGCAGATGTCACCAGTGAGGAATGAGTGAAGCATCAAGTAATGAACCTTTGGTCAAAGCAATGGGCTGGGAAGCTTCATGAGGATTCATTTGGTCCTCAGGGCTTTGCCTCTTGCATGTTTTAGGTTTTTCCTTACAGTCAAACCTGTAATGAATGTCTGACTGATGGCATACTGAGAGAATGTAGTCATCTAACCCAATGTTTCTTTCAGCTGCAGAACATTGAAAGTTTGTTCAAATCTAGAAATTTTAAACTTTCATTAATTAATGGACTCAAATTTCAAAATAAATACACTATTTACAATATGAAACTTTGGAATTTGTCTCTTTAAGTAACTTTCACAAAGTACCATTTTAAAAAAGAAAAATGTTGCTAACATACCTTTTGTAAGAAAAAATGCAAATGTTTCATGTGTATTGTGTGCCTATTTTTTTATTTTATTCCTTTCTAAATGGGAGCATGCTTTGAGAAAATGAGGCCAAAGCACAAGATCAACCAGTGGAGAGCTGCAGACCACTCAAAATCCACTTTAAGACTTGCGTTAATCAGGTCCCCCACAGCTGTGTGCTGCCAGGCTGATGAGCTAATGTTTGGCTGTTGTTTGGAGGAGATAATGAAGTAACACTGCTTGATTAAAATGTTATTGAAATTAGTGACTTAACCAAGGCCAGTGACAGCTAAATGATAGCGTCTTCTTATTCTCAGCAAAGCTACATTTGTTTAATAGTTAAATTTCTGATTGAGAGACTGATCCTGTAAGTGGTCAAACCAAAACAGCTGTCTGGATAATCAAACTTAAAGAGCATTCCTTTGTATCTGTTACATTCATCTTTGCAATGGTTTAATTTTCAATTCAATGAAAGTGTGATTCTCTGCTGGACATACTTTCACAATGAGAAAAAACTTAAAACACTTACCTTCAGAAGTTTAATTGGTCCTTCAAGCTCAACAGAAATGAAGCTTTGTGTCTGTCTTCAAGTTTCTTCATGATCTAGTTTCCTTTAAATCGCAGAGCAGCGCTCAGAAAGGATTCACAGGTGAAACGCTTCATTGCCGGCACCAGACCTAACTAGACTCTGTCAAACTGGTTTAGTGAAGATAAACCAGTTTATCTTCATAGTGGAGGTCTGGTCTAAAAAAAACCTGCTTCTTCAGACTACGGTGACTGACTTTTATTGTTTGTATGTTTATAGGTTCATTTTTACTTTTTCACACACCTCTATATGGGTAGTGGATTGAAAAATAGTTTAAAAAAAATAATACAGTCTTAACTTCTGTCTCATTTATTATTTTTTTCCTTATACATATGGATGTTTGTGTACATACAAGTTCTTACTAGTAGGGGCAGTGTCGTACCAGTGTGAGTCTAATGGGGAGAATGGTTTTCCTTGTTCTGGGCATGCACGGCTCAGAATAAAGGAGCTCTTGCCAGAGTAACATTATAACAACTCGTTTACTCTGTGATCTGCAGATATTGGCCACATGGGGTTCTGATGCTGGCTCAGATCCCTCTAGATCTGGTGCCGGTACCATAAGCCTATGCTATAAAGAAACTGTCAAAAATCCTTTGACCTTTGGAAATGTGTTAATTGAATTACAGAGGATGTGCTACATGTATTATGTAGCTGTTCAGTTTTTCCTGTACCAAAAGTTACTGTTTGAAAAATGAACTTATTAGTTTTCAATATATACCTTTTTTATGGTTGGGCTTCTGAAAGTCACCAAGTTAACACAAAGCCTCACTACCGAAAGGAAGCCAAGCAAATATTGATTTAAATTTTACTGTAGGTGGAAAAAGGAATACTTAGAGAAAGCTTAAGATCAGTAAAACCACGCAAAATTTAGACTGGATAACTGTGAATTAAAAATCATACTGTTTTAGCCTCCACCTAATTTAATGACTGTAGTTTAAAAATAGTTTCATCTGAATGTTTAAGTTTCTTTTACTTAATTTATTACATTAGAGCTCCTCCAAGATCTTCCTAGAATATCTTCAAATTGATTCAATTCTTCATAAACAAATGTCTTTTTCAAGATTTTGTGTCACAAATGTCACTTTTGTAGCCACAGGCTTTCATTGTGTTTAGTGCATCAGGTTCTTCTTCTTTTCTACTATGATGAATCGCAAACACCTGTAAGGTGCACACCGCCGTGCGTGTACATGAGTGTGTAGCAGCACAACCGCACATCCATTAAATTCTTTTTTCAAAATGTTGTATTATGTCCTTCAGGTTCAGTTACCCAGTTCAAACAAATACCTGTTAGGTTGATTAGAAATCACACACAGGTGCTATCACAAGTGGATGTTTGAATTTGTTGGATCATTCAATGATCATCCAATGTGAGGCAGGTGAAGTGCGTGACACACCGGTAATAAATATGGTGAATGTGAGTGCTGTGTTTGTCATGAACTGAGACTAACATAGAAGGGTTACTCAGTTAACCTATCTAATGTGGTGTCGCAATTTCCGAAATAAAAGGACTTTCAAAAATGTTATATTTCAATGTCAAAATAATTTTTCTCTTGAAAAGCAAAAATGGTACTCAGATAAATAAAGATGCTAGTTCATTAAATACTTTAGGTTCCCACATTCATGCTGATAACATTGTCATTGGTGGTGCACTGCAAGGGGAGAAAAAAGTGCAAGAACACCCTACTTTCCTTTTATTAATTGTTTTGATCATTAAACTGTGTAATGAGGAGGAACAAAGGTTTTTCGGCACGTGCTTACAAAAATCCCACTGAACCAAAGTCCAAATAATTAGGAGCTTTTACAGAAGGAGGAAAGAACATTCAAACTAAAGTTTTTTTTAATTCAGGTGATAGGGTCTGGCTTCTATGACCTTTCTCCATTTTGTACTTTTTGGTTGCTTTTTCACAGGAAAAACAAAAAACAAAAACAAACTTTCAAAGCATTGTAGCAACAAAGACAAAAGAATTTGTTTAACCCGTATAACATATGGGTGAAAAATGATACGATAAGGCAAGTTGTGGTGGTAATGAATGGGGATGAAATGGAAATATAAAGATGAACACATCTATGAACATAGGCCTCTACTGAGAAAGCCATTCCCTGAGGCAGCTCAGAAATGTTTTATACATCTTGTCAACAACATTGTTATCTTATTTTTTTTCCCCTGAGAGACAGAAAAGCATTAATAAAAGCAGAGATATAGGTGCATAAATCTGCTGCTGGTGACATTATTTTAATCCACAGTGTGCTCATTTACCTCAAACATCCAGCTTCAGGAGATACATCCATGCAGCTTAAGTGGCTGATAATGAAGCAAAAGCAGCGTTGAAACGGGCGTCAAATGTCATAAGCTAAAGAGTCAAATGCAAAGTGATGTTTATTACCATTCCTGTTTATCTGAGTACTATCATATTTAAAGAGTCTACCTTTAACCAGAAAATATAAGTTCCCTCTTAATGTGTTCTATTTTTATTCATCAGAAAGGTTTAGAAAGAAATCAGTGGTAACAAATTGTGATTCCTGCACATGGAAGCAGCATTGGATTTTATACATATTTTATTATTTTTGGGTTTATTTGGTGACAACAAAACTTTAAATGGCTGAAAACTGAAAACGCAGCTTTTCTTGCTTTGTTGTCCTGTTAAATTCGAACATGCTGTGCAGTCAATAATACAGTTAAAGTGATGCAATACGGCTTTCAATGCACTGATTGATCCAAGCCTTGTTTGCAGTGGAGGAACCGCAGGAGGTGTTTCCAAAGCCTCATTCTCTCTTTTTTCCCCCCTTTTATTGGTCAAAGCCTCTGGTGAAACTGTCTCCATTACATCAGAGTTCAATGGAAAATCATTGTGTTATTTTTCCAGAGGGTCGGATGACTAATTACAAGAACCAAATATGGACGTCATTCATTTTAACAATGGATGGGGAACAATAGGCCAAATTTTGTACATATTTTGGACATGTCTTCAGGCTCTACTAATGGACAAGAAGTATTCATTCAAACCATCAGATCATCTTTATTTAGGACTTTAAGCCACAGTGAGTATTTTACTTCCAGTTCACAATCAACCATCTAAAATAATATCTCTGATCATTTGGAATTAAAAATTGTTTGAAAAAATGTTTTTTCATATCTAGAGGAGGTAACTGAATTTTGTTCCTGATGGTCTTTCTAGTCAGGTTTTAGAGCAGTAAGTTTCATTTTGGTAAATGTTTGTTTCTCTTAAAACGAAACCAAATTAGTTTTATTGCTGCTGACTGCTCCTCTTTGGCCTTGAGGAAATTTAAGTTAAATATTGATTTCTGCATCTTTAAATAAAAGATAACCATAAAGAGCAAACACAAAAATAATTTAGCAGGTTTTCCACTTGGCAGTGCTTGAGGCAGAGCATAACAAAGCAAAGTAGGAAATGTTGGTAAGATAAATAACAATCCTGCTCCCATTCCTTCACTGCAACCCACTCTGTGTACTGCAGATAATTAATAGTATGGTTTGGATGTTGAAAAAGGTGAATCAGAAATATTTAGAGTTTTATTCATTCTAGAAACAATGTCCTTTCACAGTTTTAGCTAGATAGTTAAATCAAATATCTAGTTTGCAAATACTATGCCTCAAAAAAGCTTAAAAAAATAGAGAAAATTGTAAAAAGAAAAACAACAGCAGCATCTATATGTTTGCATAGAGCATTGACGCTGCTTCAGGCTGATTAGGTGTAAGCAGGATGTGGAAACTTAGGAAACTCTTCATCTTTTACCACTTTCCCCTCGATGAAAGTCATATCGCACTAGTTAGTGTTTTCTATCTGATTTGTGGTCAGTAGGAGAGATACATATGGCCCTAATTAAGCCCCTTAGATGCAGCACTGTTATAAAAGTCAAAGAAAAATTTCAGTTTTGGTTCCTTTAAATTTCCTCTGCATAACTGAATACTGTCTGACCATCAAGTTTAAAATAAGAGTTTCGTTGTTGATAAAAGTCTTATTCTGCCGTTCGACAAAACCCTGAGCTCAACTTAGAAACCTGGCTTAACACCTCCAGTAGGAATAAATCAAGTCTTATATGTTTCATTACAAAACAGGCTTAATAGATTGAAATCAGTAGAAATGAACAAACTCAGAGGCATAGAAGGCTGACTTGGAAGCTACCTTTTACATTTTTTTTTAGTTCTTAAAAAAGTGACTTTCTCTGAAAGTTTGTTTGAAGGGCGTTCTATTTTTTTTTTTTAAGTCAAAAGAAGGAGCAAAAATATAAATTGGTTCCCAGGTGTGATTTTAAATAGAATGTTTTAAATTTCATAAGATATTTCTAAGAAACTACAACTTTTTTATGCTAAAGAACTGAGTTCAAACTCCAACAAAGCTGGAGCTCCAATGAAGTGAGGATAAGAAAATACAGGTAATATTTATTGTCACTGCATACATAAGAACGGTTCAATAAAAAATAGTTGGCAGCAGCACTTCAAACAAAAAACAAACAGGTATTAAACACAGATTTTATGAAGTTCACATTTTAGGAATTAAAATGCTTTGTTTTATTAATATATTAATAATAAATGTCATGTTTTCAGATGAAAATTTAAAAAAAATCAGTCTGTTTTCTAATAAAAAAAAATTTACTTCAAACAAATATTTTTACTTCATTGAAGATGACTTTAACATAGCATTTAAAAATACAGCAAATCAAAAACATATGAACATATAAAAGAACAGGAAGAATTTTAAAATATTAATATTGTTACACACTACGATTATTACACATTCTGAAGATAGGCTGAGCTTTTTAAAAACTGGACCAACAAGCACAAAGTTGATAAAATAAAATCTGCCATATGAATAAATTGAGAACAATTATACTTTTACCTGCTTTTTATTCATCGTGATAGATGAGTTTTCCAAAGAAAACTGTTATTACTCAGGCTGAAAACAAACACAGCAATCCTTTGACTTATAAAGTTACAAGTGAAACCCAACCTCAACTTCTGTCTGCTGTTGTTGTCTGAAACTGCTCCGGTGACGTTCTTTTGTTCCCATGTGTGCACAAAAGCAAAG